ATGGCAGTGGGAACTTGAAAATCTGATGTCATTCTGTTATCAGTCAAATGTTAAGAGATGAACCTGGGTAGGACTCTCTGGAAACTTCTCTAGGACTCCAGATAAAACCGGAGTGCAGGAGAGGCACACTGTCCTTTTCCTCTCTGAGAGGACCCACTCTTTCCCTTGAGATTGTCTCCTTTCCCTTTTCTTATCCCTTCAGTAAACTCATGCCTGCTACTTTGAGCAACATGTCTGAAATCTGACTTGATTGATTGTAAAATTGAGCTTTAAAAGCAGGACGAGGGACATCTTCACACTCAGTGTCCCAAAAGGCCCCAGCCCTGTTACACTTGTATTGAAAAGCATTATCCTATCCCCTACATTAGTCTTTTTTTTTAATAAAAAAGATTAATAGACATGTCGGGGTCTAGTACTTTCTTTAATTTTGCCTTTACTATAGAGAATACAGACTAAAATAGATTTGAAATTTCAGTGTTTGTGGTTTTGCAGTAGTAGATATGCTACATCAGCTGACAGCATATCACTGCAGATCCAGTTATAGGTGGAATGGATGCATGTTCCCTTTTGTTATTCAGATTTGGGAATGCTACTATCATTGTTGCTATTGTACTATTTAGGATAGCCAAAATAGTTCAAATGCAAAAATGAGTAAAAACACTAGGTTTTCTAAAGATATATTGAAGAGAGAAACTCATTAATCATTCTACTCCTATATAACTAACTCCTCCTACTTGACCAAATAATTCAACAAAAAACACAGGTATACAGAATATCAAAATCAATCAACCACTCAAAACAAAACAAAACAAAACCAAAAGCTAATATCTTCAGAGAGAAAACCAAAGCAGATATTTTTTTAAGTAAGTAGATACTTGAAAAAAGAGATGACATGAGTTAAGTTTCCTGTTTTATGGCAGTTACCCAGAGAGAAGGCCAAGTTCAGAACCATGTTGAGACACATAAAAGTCTGATAGGAAGCCTGAAGTCTTATGACTGAAGCATCAGGTGATGCACCAAGGTTGACTGTAATTGAGTAGGGAAATATTGGAAAGAAGAAAGCTAGCAAGGGATAGAATAAAATTCCACTGATAAAGCTATGTCACAATCTCTAACTGTTCTCTAAACTGCACCTTTGTAGGGCAGATTACAAGCAGATCAACTATAAAAAAACATAATACTTGCTGAATGAAGATTTGAGCTGCACTCAAGTAAAAGAGCTTCCAGTTTGAGTTCAACCAAGTTGTCCGTTAAAATGAAATACAAAAATAAACAAACAACATTGAAATAATCACAATCTTCAGAGAAACTAAATAGATTCAACTGTTTCTCCACTGCATAACATTCACAATATCCATGACAGAGTCCCCAAACAAGTCAGTGTGATGAAGTAAATGTGTTCCATTTTTCAAGAGAGAGACAAGACAATACTACAAAACCCAGACAAGGGTATTCAAGCAAATATTATAACTCTACCTGTGTAAAAAAGATGAAAAAATGATATACACTATAAATTAAAAAAAAAAAAAGGAAAATCTTATAGCTTGTGAAGAAATGAAAATTCTAAGAATGTGGAAAATTTAGAATAAAAGAACACAATATCTTAAATAAAATAAAATAAAATAAAATAAAAAGACCACTGCATATATTTGACAACAGGATGGAGATGGCAGACAATGTGTGACTTTGAAAACAAATCAATAGAAAACATCCAGTTTGTAGAAAAATGATTAAAAATATATTGAAAATAATTAAACAGAGCCCTGGGAAGCTGTGAAACAATATCAAAATATCTACCTTTTCTGTAATTAGAGTCTTAGATGTAAAGCAGTCAGGGGGAAGATGGAAAAGGGCATAAAAATATTACACAAAAATGATAATTAATTTATAAAAAATAGAGATTAAAAACTTAAGTAAGACTGCAACCCTCTCCCAAAAATAATTATTAAAAAAGTACACCTTATCATGCAAAAGTCAAGTTGCTAAGCACACACAATGAAATGAAAAAATTAAAAGTAGAAAAAAAAGGTGCATTATGTACAAGAAATATTAAATTTCCACTGAACTCTCATTAGAAGCACTGATTAAAATGATGGGAAAATTTAATTAATATTTTGCATTGTTATGTGACAGGAGGTGCATTTGCGACTGTCTACAAGGATGAAGCAGATAATATAAATGAGGGAAGCAACTGGGGTATGGATGTATACATACATATTGGCTCAGTGATAGGAGTGATGGAAGTTCAACAAATGCAGATTACTGTGTTATTGGAAATCAAGGGCAGTGTCAACATGTTTCTGTTTCTCAAAGGAAGAAAACAAGCCACCCTTGAATGTAAATTTCATGATGTTTAGATATTGACTTCAAAAATAGTTTACAATATTTTGTGGCCAAACAAAACATCTGTGAGATGAATGAAATAGAGGGTAGGTAATATGTGACTTTAAGTAATGAACAACAAAGCATCAGATGAAAGAAAACGACCAGAATTTTAAGTAAGACAGGCTGATCTACTCTTTCTACCATTTATCTATCATACAGTATGAGACTACTTTAAAAGAAATTATATCAGTGCTTACCAAAGCCAGAGATGATCACATTCAGGTTAAATAGTTTGTTCATTACACATGCACTTTTGCTTTTATATTAAGAAATAAGGAGATCATTATTCTAGTTTTTATTCAGGGAGGGAGTATGGGGATTGAACTCAGGAAAACTCAACCACTGAACCAAATCCTCAGCCCTGTTTTGTGTTTTATTTAGAGACAGGGTCTCACTGAGTTTCTTAGCATCTGGATTTTGCAGAGGCTGGCTTTGAACTCCCAATCCCCCTGCCTCAGCCTCCTCAGCTGCTGGGATTACAGGCAAGCACCACCACTCCCAGCCATTATGCTACTTTTAATATAAACAAAATTACTATAGATTTATGAGAATATGAAATATAAAAATAATAAGTGTTTCTCTTGCAGGTCTTATAAGAAAAAAGTCTGGTACTGAATTTACAGTAAATATCTAGGACAGCTGAAGGTTGTCTAAAAATGTGCCTTGATTAATGCTTTCTCCTCCAATAGAACCCACATGAAATGTTTTCCTGATGTCTTACTCTTTTGTCGCATGGAAGTAAGACCATGTCCAGAGAACCTTATTTTTTCGACAGTAGTGCTAGCTTGCTAAAATTTATTTTTCCTTCTTCTAATTTTAAAACTGCATGAGGCTGATTGGTTATCTATTCTGTAGGTAGTAAAAGATACATAATTGTGTTTGATTTCAAGCCCAGAGATTCCTGAAAGGGGGAAGCATTCAGAAGGGACTACTGCACAGCTAAAAAAGAATTTCAGCTTCACAAAACTAGAAGATAGTTTCTAAGTATTTTTTTTTTTTAGTTCAAACTATAACTTAAGCTTTAAATATTTTTTTTTTCAATGCAAAAAAACACTTCCCTCAAATACATGGAATGACCATTCTATGACCATTCTATATTTTATGGCTTAATTTTCATATAGCTTAAGGAATAAGAATTAAGGAATGACATCATATAATGTAAGCTGGAAAATGGCACACATGTGCAATATTAATTATTAAAGAAGAAAATCTGAAGAGCAAACAAGACGAATGGTTCAGACAGAATGTGCAATCAGCTGTCTTTTGTACTGTTAATGGAAAAGTGTTTCTCTTGCCCTCTGCTCCTCTGCTGTTTCTGCAGTCCTTTCCACTCCATTTCTTGTATAACCCTTCATACTTAAGGCTCACTGTCACATTCTCATCACGTCCTCATCTCTTGGTTTCCTTTCAAACATGCTGAGAAGTTCCCTTTAAGGGAAACAAAATCTCCAAAACCTGCCCTTTGCCCTACTATGCCCATCCCATCCCCCTTTTATTTAATTCTTATTTTTCAAATGTTTTGAGAATTTTTAACAACAGTACTACATATATTTCATTAGAATTCAGTAGAGGAAGAGTGGAGGGCATGCTCCTCTAACATTGGGCTTTGAGACTTAGAAATGGCCATGTAATATACCAGGCAAATCACTTCACCTGTGAGCCTGGTTGTTTCTCCAAAGCAATGGAGAAAATTTGCTACTACAACTTGCTTTTGGGAATACAAGAAGATGCATTTGTGTTTTAACTTATTCTGATAATAAATTTGTGAAGTAGACATATTTGGTGAGTTCTTAAACTCTACCTGCTCAACAGTGTTTTTGTTCGTTTATGTGTGCTGTGTGTGTTTAGTTAAACCTTATGAAAAAACATAAAGGGTAAAAAATAATGTTAACCTCAAAACTTTTAATATTCCTAGTAGTAAACACAAGAAAGAAACATGAAATAAGAAACCACTTAAGAAGTGGTTTTAATTCTGCTTTGGGGAATTCATGGTAATCTGCGAAGATGCCATAGCAAGAGGAAAGACAGAGGGCAGGCAAGACTTCCAGCTATAGCCTCATTTGAAGATTTCACATTTTGTCTAGTTTTGCTTAATATGTCATTTGAGTGATTCCATGGCCTAAAAACCAATATAAATCCTAAAACAAGAAAGGCCTATAGCTAGAGACTTTGTTTTCTGCTCTGAGATTTCACTGTTGGCAGGACTAGGATTTTAGGGTCTTCTCAAAACTGACAATGTATTTGGTGTGTGTTTGTGGTTTGTGGTGGCATTATTGTCATTAATTTTCAAATTGCATAAAGCCTATGCATCACGTTGGTTATACCATATGCAATGGTTTGTTTAGAATGCTTAGACTGATTATGAGTCTACAAATATAAAATAAATTTAGTAAAGATGGTGGCATATTATGCCTATGAATGCATTTTGCTTTTATGTTCAGTTACTGCCAAAGATAAAATACAACACAAATATTGTAAATAAGTCAATTTTTATATAATAATAGTTAATTTAAGTGGTTCTATTAACTAATATTAAATAGAACAAATATCAACTGGGATAAATGTTAATTTTATTCCTTATAGTGAAATCTCATCACGTATGGCTATTTACATACCGGATCTTCTGGATTGTATTGAATAACATATTCTATCTGTCCATTTGGGCCATCATCTATATCAGTAGCTCCATTGTCTCCTGAAAATCCTGTAAATACCGTGGTGCCAACTGGAGTGAGCTGAAAGGAAAAGAAAGGAAAAACTCAATTCTCATTTTGTCAGTTGTACATCTAGTATATAGCACAAAAACCAGCCTTTAGTAACACAAAGGAAGAGAATAGACATCTGCCTACAACCACAGAAATGAAATATTTTTAAAAAACACACTTGCAAACCTAACATAGGAGTTCTTACAATGTCTGAAATTTCCAAATTCCTGATCCTTGCTTCAGGTAAAGAAATAGAAGGATTCAGAATAAAGCACATTTGGCCCAATTTATACCCATTAGCATCTTAATACCTGTGGAGAAAATGCATCTGTTATTTCTTGAAAAACCTTGAAGCATTAAGTTATCTACATGATAGAATTTCAATCATACAAGTAAGTTTCTTTATTTTAGTTTCAAAAGCCTTTTCAGAGACAGCCCAAAATCCAGGTTGTTAAGTATATCCACATGGCAAGTTTGGGGAAGAGAAATTATAATAATGACTGCCCTTTTAGAGGAAGAAGCTATGAATTTCTTCTGGGCTTCTAATATTGGTTGTATAAGAAACAATTTTATGACAGGAGTTGAAGAAAGTCACATCTTTTTATCTATTTTTTTAAATTAAAAGAATAATAGTAAAACAATGTATTTTGGCATGTAAAACCATGTAAGGCATTTGGCCTATTAATGTGGAGATCCTAGAATCTCCACAGAACATCACTGTTATTTTCTCTTACAAATTGTCTTTGTACAATATATTTTTGTCAATTCTCCTTTCCCATTCCTCATGTTTTAGCTCATTAATTACTCGTTGAGTATGTTTCAACTTAGTTTGATATCACTTACTACAATACCATTCCTAATATAGCCTTTGCCACTATGAGTAAAATTATAGTGACCTTTTTTGTTTGTTTATGCATTTTACACTTCTGTATACATTATGCTGTCCCAGTAAATGAACACATTTTAGCAATAAACATAAGCTCTGTACTTCTACAGTGCAGAGACCTAATTTTATTAGGTTTGTTGTGTTAATTATTGGATGGGATTCCCTCATGGAAAAATACTTTAAGAAGGAAGAAAGAGATCATCTAATTTACTAACATTTTTTAGGGGTTATATATTCAAATGTCTACAGAGATCAATCAGGAGATGAAAATGTGGAAAGCAAGTCTGATGGGAAAAGTGAACAAATGCCCTGTCTAATTTGATAGCTGCTACTCAGCCCTACAAAATTCTTACCATAATGGAATATGGAGCTAAAATTACTAGGTCATCTAAAATTCTAATTTTATAGGAAAATTATTGATTCTCAAGTTGGCACTAGATTTTATAAAATTAAACTATGAATGGACCAAACACATTTTTATTGGTCTAACAACTACACTAGTTTGTAAATTTTTATTTACAAAAACAACATAACTATGATTAAAGAACTAAACCATAGCTATAAGGAAATAGGATATTTATAATATTATTCTAAGTTAACTAAATGGCTTCCAAATTGCCATTTTTATTTATTTTTAAATGCATAAAATGTCAGAAAAGATACCATTCTCTTTTATAAAAAAAAATCACTCATTCTTTTTTTTTTTTTAATTTTTTATTGTGGGTTGTTCAAAACATTACAAATTTATTGACATATCATATTCCACACTTTGATTCAAGTGGGTTATGAACTCCCACCTTCACCCCATACACAGAATGCAGAATCACATCGGCTGCCTTTCCCATCCTCCCCCCTCCCCCCTCCCCACCTCTCCCCTCCCCTCCCCTCCTCTCTCTCTACCTCCTCCACTGTATAACCCTGAGGGTCTCCTTCCATTACCATGCAATTTCCCTTCTCTCTCCCTTTCCCTCCCACCTCTCATCCCTGTTACATGTTAATCTTCTTCTCCTGCTCTTCGTCCCTACTCTGATCTTAGTTACTCTCCTTATATCAAAGAAGACATTTGGCATTTGTTTTTTAGGGATTGGCTAGCTTCACTTAGCATAATCTGCTCTAATGCCATCCATTTCCCTGTAAATTCTATGATTTTGTCATTTTTTAATGCAGAGTAATACTCCATTGTGTATAAATGCCACATTTTTTTTATCCATTAGTCTATTGTAGGGCATCTAGGTTGGTTCCACAGTCTTGCTATTGTGAACTGTGCTGCTATGAACATCGATGTAGCAGTGTCCCTGTAGCATGCTCTTTTTAGGTCTTTAGGGAATAGACCAAGAAGGGGAATATCTGGGTCAAATGGTGGCTCCATTCCCAGCTTTCCAAGAAATCTCCATACTGCTTTCCAAATTGGCTGCACCAATCTGCAGTCCCACCAGCAATGTACAAGTGTACCCTTTTCCCCACATCCTCGCCAGCACTTGTTGTTGTTTGACTTCATAATGGCTGCCAATCTTACTGGAGTGAGATGGTATCTTAGGGTGGTTTTGATTTGCATTTCTCTGACAGCTAGAGATGTTGAGCATTTTTTCATGTACTTGTTGATTGACTGTATGTCCTCCTCTGAGAAGTGTCTGTTCAGGTCCTTGGACCATTTGTTGATTGGGTTGTTTGTTCTCTTATTGTCTAATTTTTTGAGTTCTTTGTATACTCTGGATATTAGGGCTCTATCTGAAGTGTGAGGAGTAAAGATTTGTTCCCAGGGTGTAGGCTCCCTATTTACCTCTCTTATTGTTTCTTTTGCTGAGAAAAAACTTTTTAGTTTGAGTAAGTCCCATTTGTTGATTCTAGTTATTAACTTTTGTGCTATGGGTGTCCTATTGAGGAATTTGGAGCCCGACCCCACCGACTGTAGATCGTAGCCAACTTTTTCTTCTATCAGACGGCGCGTCTCTGATTTGATATCAAGCTCCTTGATCCATTTTGAATTCACTTTTGTGCATGGCGAGAGAAAGGGATTCAGTTTCATTTTGTTGCATATGGATTTCCAGTTTTCCCAGCACCATTTGTTGAAGATGCTATCCTTCCTCCATTGCATGCTTTTAGACCCTTTATCAAATATAAGATAGTTGTAGTTTTGTGGATTGGTTTCTGTGTCCTCTATTCTGTACCATTGGCCCACCCGCCTGTTTTGGTACCAGTACCATGCTGTTTTTGTTACTATTGCTCTGTAGTATAGTTTGAAGTCTGGTATCGCTATACCGCCTGATTCACACTTCCTGCTTAGCATTGTTTTTGCTATTCTGGGTCTTTTATTTTTCCATATGAATTTCATGATTGCTTTCTCTATTTCTACAAGAAATGCCGTTGGGATTTTGATTGGCATTGCATTAAACCTATAGAGAACTTTTGGTAATATCGCCATTTTGATGATGTTAGTTCTGCCTATCCATGAACAGGGTATATTTTTCCATCTTCTAAGATCTTCTTCTATTTCTCTCTTTAGGGTTCTGTAGTTTTCATTGTATAAGTCTTTCACCTCTTTTGTTAGGTTGATTCCCAAGTATTTTATTTTTTTTGAAGATATTGTGAATGGAGTGGTTTTCTTCATTTCCATTTCAGAGGATTTGTCGCTGATATACAGGAATGCCTTTGATTTATGCGTGTTGATTTTATATCCTGCCACTTTGCTGAATTCATTTATTAGCTCTAATAGTTTCTTTGTAGACCCTTTTGGGTATGCTAGGTATAGAATCATATCATCTGCAAATAGTGATAATTTAAGTTCTTCTTTTCCTATTTTTATGCCTTTAATTTCTTTCGTCTGTCTAATTGCTCTGGCCAGTGTTTCGAGAACTATGTTGAACAGAAGTGGAGAGAGAGGGCATCCCTGTCTTGTTCCAGATTTTAGAGGGAATGCCTTCAGTTTTTCTCCATTCAGAATGATGCTAGCCTGAGGCTTAGCATAGATTGCTTTTACAATATTGAGGTATGTTCCTGTTATCCCTAGTTTTTCTAGAGTTTTGAACATAAAGGGATGCTGTACTTTGTCGAATGCTTTTTCCGCATCTATCGAGATGATCATATGGTACTTATTTTTTAAGTCTATTGATGTGGTGAATAACATTTATTGATTTCCGTATATTGAACCAGCCTTGCATCCCTGGGATGAATCCTACTTGATCATGGTGTACAATTTTTTTGATATGTTTTTGTATCCGATTCGCCAGAATTTTATTGAGGATTTTTGCATCTAGGTTCATTAGAGATATTGGTCTGTAGTTTTCTTTCTTTGAAGTGTCTTTGTCTGGTTTAGGTATCAGGGTGATGTTGGCCTCGTAGAATGAATTTGGAAGTTCTCCCTCTTTTTCTATTTCCTGAAGTAGCTTGAAAAGTATTGGTATTAGTTCCTCTTTAAAGGTTTTGTAAAACTCTGCTGTATACCCATCCGGTCCTGGGCTTTTCTTAGTTGGTAGTCTTTTGATGGTTTCTTCTATTTCCTCAATTGATATTGGTCTGTTTAGGTTGTCTATATCCTCCTGACTCAATCTGGGCAGATCATATGACTTAAGAAATTTATCTATGCCTTCACTATCTTCTAATTTGTTGGAGTATAAGGATTCAAAATAGTTTTTGATTATCTTCTGTATTTCTGAAGTGTCTGTTGTGATATTGCCTTTTTCATCCCGTATGCTAGTAATTTGAGTTCTCTTCTTCTCTTCGCTAGCATGGCTAAGGGTCTGTCGATTTTGTTTATTTTTTCAAAGAACCAACTTTTAGTTTTGTCAATTTTTTCAATTGTTTCTTTTGTTTCGATTTCATTAATTTCAGCTCTGATTTTAATTATTTCTTGCCTTCTACTTCTTTTGCTGTTGTTTTGCTCTTCTTTTTCAAGGATTTTGAGATGAAGTATGAGATCATTTATTTGTTGGTTTTTTCTTTTTTTAAGGAATGAACTCCAAGCAATGAATTTTCCTCTTAGAACTGCTTTCAATGTGTCCCATAGATTCCGATATGTTGTGTCTGTGTTTTCATTAATCTCTAAGAATTTTTTAATTTCCTCCTTGATGTCTTCTATAACCCATTGATCATTCAGTAACCTATTGTTCATTCTCCAAGTGATGTATGCTTTTTCCTTCCTTCTTTT